GCCTGGCCCACAAGTAACATCAGTCACTGTGATTTGGTGGGAGTCATCACCAATAGAAACACAATCATCCCCAGTTCCAATCTTTGCCTGAGTAATGTTGATACCAGTCGAAGCCCCGATATGGATTCCATCTGTGTTTCTGCTCTCGTCAGGTGCTGTGATGGTAAGATGTTGAAATGTAGTATGGTTGCACCGGAAAACATGCATGTGGAAATTTTTGCTGTTAAGTGAAGTTATGTCCCGAACTCTGGAATTGGTGAGGAATTCGAACCGCAGATTAACGGGAATAGGTTTGCAATTTTTGTTTTTGTGGCAGTCATTTTGACTCCAAGCAAGTGCTCCTTGGCCATCAAAAGTCCCACCACCTGATATGGTGAGCATGTCAATGTACTGAAAACCAACCCAAGTATCTGGTCTTGTGAGTTGGCCAGCGTTTGCTGGAGCCTGCAATGTGCCTCGAACTTGCATCTCAATGGGAGCCTTACAGGGGCCTCTGAAAGTTGCTTCTTTTAACTTGTATGTCCCGCTCGGAACAACAACTTTACTCGCAGATGGCGATGCACATGCATCACTCCAAGCCTTGGCCAAGGCCTTACTGACATCAGAGCCAGGCTTTGCACCGTATGTTGCACTCGTCACGTCAAACACACTAGCATGAGCTTTAGTTGTAGATGCTAACAATAAGTGTTGAAAATTGGCTCAAATGTAGAAGGTTTTTTGGAGTTGCCCATGTGAGTCAAAGTTAGTTGCCCATGTGAGTAAATGTTTAAGAACAAAAGCATTGCCAAGAAACTTAATTTAAGAGCCATCTTGATTTTCCTTCCACTTTGTTATTTTGTTCTCTGTTTTTTTTTTCCTTTGGAAGGATGATGCAACTCCATTTTGAGTTGAGGCCAATTTATAGTCCGATTGGGAAGGCTCAACACCATCAAACTATTCAACCAATCACTAACTATTTTTATACGAAGTTGCATTCTAGTTCAGCTTTATATCCTATAATTAGTAAGCTGTTTAGCCTTGAGAATATTCATCACCAAATCTCTATCTAGAACGTGCTGAGCTGTTTGTCGTATTGCTGTCCTCCTCAACATGCCCCGCAATATATGTATATTCCAGAAAAGGAGGACCAAAACCATGTATACATACTTGGATAGAGTTAACAAGATCAATAGGAAAAGACCATGCCTAAACTATTGGCCCATCTATATATATACTCTTTTAAATATCATCCAACTAGAAAGTGCCTCATCTTAACAACTTTAATTCATAAACTTAGCTTAAAGAATCCATTTGCACCATTGTGGTGGTTGGTTCATCTATTTTTGACCATATTCTTTTTATTTTTCTTATAATCCAGAGGTTTTGCTTACCATCTGCCGGTGACATTGATCTCACCTACAAAGGAAACAAAGGCCCTCTTACCTCTCAATGTTCTAATGTCAAGCCCACCATCACTCACGTGACGAAAGCTCTTGCTTGTGCTACCTCTGCTGGGTTAAAGAAGTGGAAAGTACTAAAGATAAATTGTTGTGTTCTTTGATTTTTTTGATTTTGTGGTGGGTTTACCGGTCTTTTTAATTACTTTCATTATAATTATGTTTTAATTATTATTGCTTTAGTGAATAATTAGTATTAAATAGTTTAATTAACTTCATAAATTATTGAATAATGAGTATTAAATAGTTTAATTAACTTCATAAATTATATTACTAAATAAATAGTTTTTATTTAATAAAATATTTAAATACTAATTATTCACTAATTAAATAATAATTAAAACTTAACTACTAATTAAAGTAATTAAAAAAGAGAAATGCAGATTATGTTATTTAAAGGGTATAGCCGGGCGGCTATACGTTTAAAATATTCTGTTTGCTATACTTTTAGAATATTCTGTTTATAGGTATCACCACGCGGCTATACTGTTACTAAATCCAAATATTCTATTTATAGGGTATAGCCACGCGGCGATACATTTAAACTATTATATTTAAAGAGTCAAGCCGCTCAGCTATACGTTTAAAATAATCTATTTATAGTGTATAGCCGTGCGGCTATACTATTCAGATATTCTATTTATAGCGTATAGCTGCCCGGCAATACTTGTAAAATATTCTATTTAAAGAGTATAGCCGCCCGGCTATACGTTTAAGTTCATATATTCTGTTTATAGAGTATAGCCGGGCGGCTATACTGTTAAAATATTATATGTCGCCGAGATAAACCTGTGCCGACGAAATTTCGTCGGAAGAGGTTTTCAAAAAAAATAAATATAAACTTAGTATCTTTAGGTGAATAAATTATTTTTATAAAAATTTTCTTTTTATTAATTAAATAATATCTTAGCCTTATTTAATTACTTTTACTATAATTATGTTTTAATTATTATTTCTTTAATGAATAATTAGTATTAAATATTTTAATTAACTTCATAAATTATATTACTTAATAAATAGTATTTAATTTTTTTAATTTTTTTCTTTAATAAAATATTTAAGTACTAATTATTCACTAAGTAAATAATAATTAAAACATAACTACTAGTTAAAGTAATTAAAAAAGAGAAATGCAGACTATGCTATTTATAGAGGATAGCCGTGTGGCTATACTTTTCAAATATTCTATTTAAAGAGTTTAGGTTTGGAGGCTTGAGAAAGGTTTGAGACTTGGATTTAGGGTTTGGTGGCTCAAATTCATTTTTGGAATACTAAAATAATTCGAAAAATTGAAACTATTTTAAAAATATATTCGGAAATTGAAAATAATTTTAAGGTCCACAAAATTATCGTATAAATAGGGCCAGTATTTTAAAATGATAAGCAACACATATATCATCTTATTAATTTATCTATCTTACTTAATTTATTTTTTTGTAACTTAAACGTACTAAACTAAGCATGATGCTACTATTTAGATCTCAATATACATATAAACAAAGCCATGTTTCCTACATATTTTTATGACTTTATACACATTTGGCGCAATTTTAAAACCCGCAGCATCGCGCGGGTGCCTTTGCTAGTATTAAACTAAACAAACTAATTTTGAAAAAGCAAGTGTCATTGTGTCAATAGAAGACATAAGCTTACTGCACACGAACTGTACAAGCGGAGCCGTCACAAGAATGTCAGGCTTGTATTCCAAGAAACAACACTACAGCTCGAACCTAAGATTTTAACCATTTAGGGTTATTTAATTAATATAATTAGTAATTAGCTTTTAGTTATTATTTGTTTAGTGAATAATTAGTATTGAAATATTTTAATTAGTTTTATAAATTACTTAATAAATAGTAATTAATTATTTTGAATTATTTTGTACACTTATCATTTATTTTGAATTAGTATAGAAATATTTTAATTAGTTTCAGAAAAGACCAAAAGAAGAACTCAATAACCAAGGTGGTTGGTGTGAGTGTTTCGGCACTCTCATTCCTTAAGAGAGGTCAGGGGTTCGATCCCTGCTCTTGTACGGAGTCACCAAGGACGGATCTACAGTTGGGCTGGAGTGGGCTCCAGCCCAGTCCTGATTTAGTAAATAGGTTTAAAGGTGCAGGCTAACTTAGGAATTTTAGAAACTTGCCTACCCCTCTATACATAAGTCAGCCGATCACTCTAATATAAAAAGAAGACTGCCCACTTAGCCATCTTTAACCCCACACACAGGGAGTGGATAAGGAATCCACTAAGCCCAAAAATAACCAACGAATATAATAGAACAAAAGCCTCCAACCATTTGACCAAACAAAAAACAAGCCTCCAACCAAACGAATCAAAAATTGCCTAAATGCCTAAAAAGAGAACCAAAGAAGAAGTACTTCTCTTCCTCTCCAAAATTGTGTCAATTTATCTTCGGTGGGTTCTTCAGTCTTAGTAAGTTACTCTCTTTATTTTTATTTAATTTTCAATTTAAATTGTTATTGTTAAGTTTTTATGATTTAGGGTTTGTTTGTTAACTTCTGAGTCGCACTACGCCCGCGATAGGAAATTGTTTTTGAAAAATTATAAGTTGCGCAATGTGTGTGATGGGGAAACTCTCCCGCACGGGAGTGATGGAAAAAAAGTCTCCTGCATTCGCGGTAGAGATGCCAGTTGCTTTAAGAAAAAAAAAAATTAGCCCACCCCTACTAAAATTCCTGGATCCGTCCTTGGGTAGAGCACTGGCCGCCAGGAAGAGGAGTGTGGAAAAAGCAGAAGCCACAAGAGTGAAGCAACTGAGAGTGAGCCAAACAGCAGCATGATGATGTGACACCATTTATACAAGTATGCATGACAATCATGTTCATCGCTAGCCGTACCAGCACTAACACTAGGCCTCATAACTAGCAGTAGTCGCCCGAGTAAGCTGAAGGCCAAGCAGTATGCGAGGACGCTAGACAGAACAACCACCATAACGAAACGGTGCGTTTCAAACAGATCTTCTTGTGCATATCGCATCTGGACCAACGTCAGGATCGTCGAAATGGTGAATGCAAGGATGTTTTTTTTGCCATGATGATGACGGCGGTTGGATGTTTGTTGTTGTTGCGATTTTTAATGTTAAAGGAAATTATGAATTTTATCTCACGTTTTAAAAATTAAAGACTAATTTGAAGCAATATTGGTACTCTAACTTATTAGCAAGTTACATTTTAGTCCTTAGACTTATCATTTAGTTTGTATAGTCCTTGTTAACGGGTCTAGCTCAGAAGAAAAATGTCTTAACTTGCAGACTTGTGGTCTCAAGTTCATATTTCTCATGACATCATAGTAGAGTGTGTTTGAAAAATTCATCTCCTCTTGGTTTTTTTTTTATCGATCTCCTCTTAGTTTAGATTGTAGTTTATGCTCAAAAGTTTCTATATAGTCCTTCAAAATAGTCTTTAATTATTAAATACTTGAAATAAAATTCCTAATGTATCCCTAGTTACGATAAAATTGATAGAAATACAGGACTAAATGTGCGAATATAATCAAGTTGAAGGACTTCGAGAACAATTGCTCTAAATAATTTCTAATTCACCGTAACAAAAACCCTAAATCCCCAACCTTTGCTTCATTTGCTTTTCTACGCTCCGCCTCCTTCCTTGCTCAGAGTTCTCACAGTCGCACACTTGACCAGAACAAAAAATGGTGAGCTCTCTCTAGTCCTCCTCCCTCGTCCATACGAAGTCGTTTGCCTTCTGTTAACTCGCTTTGTTTGTACGACCTCGTGCCGTTCTTCTTGAATCTCATTCTGCTTTGTTTCTTCTTGTTTTTGTTTGGATAGCCTTTCAAGAGATACGTCGAGATCGGGAGGGTGGCTCTCGTTAACTACGGCGAGGACTATGGGAAGCTCGTCGTCATTGTCGACGTCCTTGACCAGAACCGAGTACATTCTCTTTCCATTTTTCTCTATCAAGTTTTCAATTTTTGTTAATTTTGTATTGCGTTCTGTTTGGCAACTGAGGGAATTGTAGGAAATAAATTTTGGGATTCATGCTTTACTGTTAAATTAGCACGTTGGATAGTATTTTCTGAGCTACCAAGCTGAGATTTTTTCTTCACGAGCTGGGTTTTTTTTATTTTGTATTTTTGAATCTCCTACCAGCGGATAGATTTACAACAAACTAAACGATTCCGTAAACGTTAATGGTTTTCTTGTATTTGATTATGTAAATGTTGCAATTCAACTGAAAGATTGATTTGATATTAAATAAAAGGGTTTTAGAGTGAAATATGAATACTTGGGAGTTTGTTTTTCTTCCTTGTGTTGTATATGCCAACTTCTCTGATGCATCCTGCAATGTCTTTTGGTTTTCCGAAGCTGGTAATAACTATTTTGCTCATTAGAAGTATAATATGACTACCAGGGGCTTTTCTTGGTTCTCTATTTGCTGGGAAGTGGTTATTCTTGTCAGAATTTCTTTTGCACTGATTAGAAGGGTTAAATCTTTTAGCAGCACATAACCCTCTGTACTAGGGCTTTTCTTGGTTTGTAAGTGGGAAAATTTTGAGATATGAACTTTTCATTCAAGACCAAATGTTAACATGATTTCCAATCCAACCTGAATCGATTGGGTTTGTCTAGTTTATTAATGATTTGATTGGTGTTGGTCTGGTAAATCACGACTGGAGAATTTTGGGTTGGTCTTGTATTGGGCTTCAATCCGGTCCAACCTGACCTCTGCCCATCCCTAGTTGTATGTTCGGTTAACATGCTTCGCATCTCCTTCAACATATTTATAATGTTTCTTCTATTGTTAATTGTCCTCTGTAGGCTCTTGTTGATGCCCCTGATATGGTGAGATCCCAAATGAATTTCAAGAGACTTTCCCTAACTGACATCAAAATTGACATCAAAAGGGTCCCCAAGAAGAAGGAACTGCTTGCTGCCATGGAGGCTGCTGGTAAGCTCAACAACTTTTAAACATTGATGGTCTTGTTTTCATGTCATACTTTCCTTTTGGATAATTGTATATGTGTTGGTAGATG